CCCTAGTAGCTTCTTGCTCCTAATAGCGGTGCCAGGAGCCCCTAGTAGCTTCTTGCTCCTAATGGCGATGCCAGGAGCCCTAGTAGCTTCTTGCTCCTAATAGTTATGCCAGGAGCCCCTAGTAGCTTCTTGCTCCCAATGGCGATGCCAGGAGCCCCTAGTAGCTTCTTGCCCCTAGTAGCCGGGAAAAATGTGTCAACCGGGAAAGTAAATGAATGACGTGTCCGATGACGTGTTTTAGACCTGGAGGTGATCGTGCGTGCCTCCTCGACGGACCAAGCCATGCCGCGCTTCACTCCGTTGGCTTGGTTTGGAAAGCATTGCGCGCAGGAGAGAGATGACACCGACGAAGAAAAAGAGTGGAAAACAAGTGGACAAAAAAGACGAGTGGAACATGTGGAACGTGGAAATTGTGTGATGGACACTTCATTGGTTACTTCACTAGTTCGGCGTTCACTAGCTAGAGAGCAACATTTATTTGCAAGTGTGAAGAAGGGCTTAAAAGTTCACTCTTAGGTTGGAGGCAATCGCTTGTAGGTGGGAGGCCATCGCAAGTAGATTTGAGGCCATTGCTATTAGGTTGGAGGCGTTTTGAAGAAGGGCTTAAAAGTTGGAGACCTAGGGCAACAGCAGCCGCCTTGTCTCAGGGCCAAGGGCTCCCAGAGGATGCAAATGCACCGTGTTCTGTCTCGGCTCCACTTCAGTTCAAAGCAGGCATGCTTTGGCCCTGGGCTTCCATGTGTTGTCGATAGCTTTGATAGCAGCGTTCTTGGTATTTGTAGTCAAGAAAAGGCTGTTATATGATGGAAAAAGGAAAGGTAGAAAAAGAAAGAGAGCAAAGAGAGGAGAAAGGCAGACGACAGCAGCAACGAGCATGTCATCCATTTAACAAAGCATTTCAAATGCCGAAGGCCTTGCCAACAACTTGCGGGTTTGACCTGAGCAACGCGCGTGACACCTGATATCTCATAACAACTTAAGGTTGTTGGTGAGGGTTCGACGACCAACGGGCAACACCCTCGCTACTAGTAACAAGTGCCTTACTAGTAGTAACAAGAATCTACTAGAAACAAGTGCATCGCTACTAGTGACAAATGTGCGATGTTGAAGACATGGGTGTAAAACTGTTGATGCGAGCCGTCATGGCACCCAGCGTTGGCAATCACTGGAGGAGTGATAGGATGACCCCCGAGAAGTATACCATGTAGGGATACCTCAAATCATCCTAGATCGATAACACCCCAGACGTAAGAGCACTTGTTGGTTGTTCCTTTTGAGCAGCTTCACATCGTGGGTTCATGACGCTTCTCATCTTAATCTTCACTTCGTTTGCGGGTTGACCAGTTGACCGGATGAATGGTTCGAATATGTTCGAATGGTGGTGATTTCGCTGTGGTGGTCGACTTCGTGGCGCGGCGACTTCGCTGCAAGGCGACCGGACGTTGCTGCGGATCCGGCACCGTGAACATTTGGGCGCCGACTGGCTCCGCGTGGGGCTGCGCATTCGCTCGGCCACGACGGCGGAGGGGCCACTCGACCGGGCAGGGGCAGGGCATGACCAGGTGACAGGGCAGGGAGTCCGGATGGCTGCCATCTCTTGATGTGCTACCAATAAGAAGAATAAGAACACACTTGGTGTGTCAGGCAAATAGACCAAATAGACCTTGAATTTTCAAAATTACCATCCGTGGTAGGCTTATCTGGAGCTGTCACTGTCACTCTTCAGAGGGATTGTAGTATGTCGCGGTGTTGAACGTCTCAATCCAGTACTTTGTCAAGAAGAAACAAGAGGACTCATTGAAGGGGGCCTTATCATCCTTGTTCCTTTTCGTCTTTTTCTTGGTGTCTAATTGCGATGGCCTCCAACCTAGAAAGAAGAGGGCCTTACCTTCCTTTTTCCATCAATGAGTCACTTCTGCTTCATTCAAGAAGTGACTCATTGCAGTTGAGAGCTGCTCATGGAAGGGTGCTCATGAAAAGGTAGGGCAGTCTGTGGGTGCGAAAGACTTAAGTGCTGGTGCTGGGTAGAAGGCAAGTGTCGGCAGGTGCCAATTCTTCCAGCGGGTGCTGGGGGCGGTAGCAGGGGTGTGCTATGGTGTGCTGGTGCATTGAACAGTAGCTTCTTGCTCCTAGTAGCGATGCCCTTTGTTCCTAGTAGCTTCTTGTTACTAGTAGTAATGCCAGGAGCTACCGGTTGTGTTGAGATGTGTTGAGTCAGGGACGGAACACAGGCATCACATCACAGGAGGGAAGATCACACAGCATTTTGTTAATTAATTTAATTCTAATAAAACTTAAGTCCAATAGCTTCTTGTTACTACTAGTAAGGCCCTTGTTACTAGAAGCGATGCACTTGTTCCTAGTAGCTTCTTAAACTTAAGGTTGTTGGTGAGGGTTCGACAAGCTATTAGAAACAAGTGCATTGCTTCTAGTAACAAGTGCCTTACTAGGAGTAACAAGAAGCTAGTAGTAATTAAGTTTAATTAGAATTCAGTTTATTTCTAATAGCTTCTTGTTACTACTAGTAACAGAAAGGCCCTTGTTACTAGAAGCGAGGCACTTGTTACTAGTAGCTTATTTAATTAAATGATCCTCTCAATTAGTCACCTTACAAATCTCCCTCCCTCTCCCTCCCGCCCTCCCTCTCTTTCTCTCTCTCTCTCTCTCTTTCGCGCACACTCGAATTGCATCATCATCACACTGTTTACAATTTATGACCACTGAACAACCACCGTGGCTCCTGCCAGACACCACCCAGCACGGCTCAACGTGTAGCTTTTGAAAGGGTTCTCGTCGCCACACCCGGTGTGCCCCACCTTGACCTATCGAAGCACGCAGGTTGCCACCTCCTCCTGATTTGGCGAGGACATGGTTTTTCAGAGATTGAAGCCATTTGATTCCCAGAAAAGATGAGCACTCGTCCTTTTCAGGGAGTAGAACTGATGAGTTGTTGCTTTTTTGTTTATTGCCTTTCAGCAATGGAATTCCCGACATCTTCTGATCAACAAGAGGTATATAGCATGTTTGTCAAGGCATTTTGCTGCCAGGAGCAAATCCTTCGTCGAAGTACAGCGCTTGACCATGACTGCTTCCGTCGTGAGAGAGAGGCCAGGGAAGAGTCTGTTGACAGACAGGAATTCGGAAGGGCTCCAATTTCTCTGGTGCGTTTGCTGTTTTTTTCCAAGAAGATTGTCTTTGATGTGCACATCACTATGCGATGAACAAGATTGACATAACGCAATGAGAGACTTTCCAAAGTGCGACCGTGCAGAGGCACCGCATTGACCTCGACCGAGTGCTCAGAGGCTAGCTGAGTCGGATCTCACGCGTGTCTAGACCAGTCTTTTTGATGCAACCAACAAACGGAGCTTTGCTACTTGAGTCAAGTCTCCCAAGATCCTTATCCGATGATCTCTAAGTGAGGGAGGATGTCAGATGTTGCCACAGATTGAATGAGCCTGAATTTGCAAGATTGACATGTGAGAAACACGGTTTGATTCAGAACTTAACCTACTAGCAATGACCTCGACCCTAAGAGCGATGACCTCCGTCGGCGGTTTGATTCAGGAAGCTATTAGGAACAAGTGCCACGCTACTAGGAACAAGTGCCTTACTAGTAGTAACAAGAAGCTAGCTTCTTGTTACTACTAGTAAGGCACTTGTTACTACTAGCGTGGCACTTGTTCCTAGTAGCCCTAAGAGCGATGACCTCCGTCGGCGGTTTGATTCAGGAAGCTTCTTTGTCCGAGTGCGTCGCTTCGAGAACAATTTCCTCCGAGAGGGCACGTCAGGCAGTGCTGCAGCAGATTCGCATAGATAGCTGATTTGGAACTGATTAGGTTAGATGCAAGTTGAGAATGTTTGCTTTTGCAGAAGGTTAACATCAACACAACAAATCGTTCCTCAAGAGTGTGGAAGCGGAAGCTTGTGAGGCGTTGTATACTATGGTGACAATCCGGAGAAACTGGCCACTGTGCTTTGGGAGACACAGGACTCCCTTCATGAGGTTGGCCTCTAAAACGATTTCACCTTTAAGGGCAATCCGAGAATTTCATGAGGTGTTCAGAACGAGTTTTCACATGTTGTATATTCATTTGAACATCAATTGACTCAATATGCTCCAATCAAACTGATGCTGACATGTTTCGTTCCATCCTGTGAGTTTTCCATGATTGACTCCGCAGGACCTTTACGGGCGGGTTTTGCAGTGCCAACCCACGGTGACACAGAGCGAGGGCTTTGAGAGGCCACTCTGGGGCCGCGCCTGCATGCTCACCCCATTGCTCCTAGTGGTCCTAGTGGCGATGCCCTTTGCTCCTAGTAGTTTCTTTTTCCTAGCAGTAAGGCCAGGAGCCCCTACTAGTGTCCTTGCTCCTAGTAGCGATGCCAGGAGCTACTAGTAGCTCACCCCATTCCATCTCAGACATCGCTAAATCCCTCTAATACAGTGGTGTCAGAGTAGATGGCACAACCCTCAAATGGTGGTTGATATGGACCTCCATCTTGATATCTTGGAGTTTGTGCCATCTACTCTGAAATCACTGTAATGGAATGTTCTTGAGGGCTGAGTTGCCCTCTCCGTGGGAATACTACTACAAGAACGCATTTCTTGGAGCAGAGGGTGGAGGATTTAAGAGAATGGGCTTTCTCATTCTGCCGTAGGCATCATGGGTTGGCTGCTCGTTGAAGCTCAAGACATTCTCAGTGAATGCCCTGCAAATGTCCTAGCAGCACCCTGTTTTGTCTCCCTCATGTTCTTGACATACTATGCCCTTTGCTAGGAGCCCCTAGTAGCGTTTTTTGGAACCAACACCCAGGCAGTTGTTGTTCCACAAAGCTTTTTGTCGGAGGTTCAGCTACTTTGTGACCTTCCCATGTCCCAAGCCGGCAGATGGCAATGCCCACGCAGCACCTTTGTCACAATAATTTCATTTGGTTGTACGTTTTTGTCCATTGGGGTTAAACTGCAAGGAACACACGAATTGTATTATTTTTCTCCTAGAATTCAGGGGTTGTGATACATTGTGAAGGTTTATCAGGGTTTAATTGCAATCAACACCTGCCTTTTTCTTGTTTAAACACCATCAGGTTAGAGGCCATCGCCCTTAGGTTGGAGACCATTTCTCTTAGGTTGGAGGCCATCGCTAGTAGGTTGGAGGCCATCGCTAGTAGGTTGGAGGCCATCGCTATTAGGTTGGAGGTCATCGCTATTAGGTTGGAGGACATCGCTATTAGGTTGGAGGTCATCGCAATTAGGAACAAAGAAAAAGAAAGGGAAGAAAAGGAAAACACTGTCATTTCAAGGTCTCACCCTTTCACCGAGGCTGCAATGACGATCATTCCCGGCCTTGACGTCATCGGCACTTCAGTGGTGACCTGGGCTCCTTGGATTCTGAGGGAAGTATGAACAAATCGCTAGTAGTTAGTAGGTTGAAGGCCATTTCTACTAGCGGGTGGAGGCCATCGCTACTAGGGTGGAGGCCATCCTACTCCTGGCTACCGACAAAACCCGACATGCAACCAAAGCAACCGATAAAACGCCAAGGTCGGGCGCCTCTTAGTTAGATAGGGGGCTGAGTTTTGAAGACTTGGTTTGGGAGCAGATTCCAAATACATGCAATTGCGACTTGATGCGACCTGCCGAGATTTGAAGAGCTGAGGTCATGAACTCGAGACTCCTACAAAGCTCGTCGCCAGTGGTAACTGGCAGCTTCAGGCTTTCCTTCGCCGGCTATTGGACCCAGGAGAAAGATGTGGCTGTCGCAAGAACTGGAAGGAACTGCCTCAAAACCTCGCTACTAGGTTGGAGGCTATCGCTATTAGGTTGGAGGTCATCGGTATTAGGTTGGAGACCATTTCTCACTATTAGCGAAGCCATCGCTACTAGGGTGGAGGCCATCGCCTGAAATTCCAAGACGGGAAAGTGTAACCAGGACATCCCGTACCATGGTTGGGACCTGATCGAGCCGGAACTCTTGAAGCTCCCTATTTCAGAGGTGCGCTTGTGGCCTTTTCAAGAAGCCCCTTGGCAGGATGCATCCAGATACCCTGCCTGGAATGGCAATTGAGTGATTAGATTCGAAGGTTGCAGAGTATTCCACAGTTCAGTATTTGCCCGCTGGCATTTCCCTTCAACGGATTTATGATCTTAGGTGCTTCAAGAGGGTCGCGAAGGATGGAGTGTTGGACTTCTGCTTGGAGGCACCATTTGCAAAGGACTCAAGCGCTTCAACGACCGAATCATCACAAAGGACTTATAACGAACGCTCAGCTTGAGAGAGCCTGAAGGATTGGTCATTTGAGTCATTTGGTGTATTCATCATCATTCATCATTCATCGAACTTCTCCCATGGGACATACCTTTCCAGTTACCCATCCTTCAGGTGGTGAAGATATGCCACAGATCCAAGTGGACATCCGTCAGCTCGAAGGACCAGGTGCCGACCGTCCTTGCAGTGGTTGCGTCGGACGACACCGGTGCCAACCGTCAGGTGTCCGGTTGATCTCCGAGACCATGGCCAACGGCTCGGCGGATCTCTTCATGGAGGAGCTGACATTTGGAACTAAGTTGCAATAAAAAGCAGGACTGTCCGACAAACTTGAAAACTTGTTTTTTTACTATATACTACATTATACTACCAAGAACTCTCAAACGTTGTCTCAACCATTTGGGCAAAACCCCGTGAGGAGCTGCCTGCAGACTGGTTCCGAACGGTGCACTCCCAACCGCAGGCTCGGGCTGAGGAAGACTCCGGACTTTTGCCGAACTAACAAAGGAACGCCCCTAGTAGCATCATTGCTCCTAGTAGCCATGCCAGGAGCCCCTAGTAGCTTCTTGCTCCTAGTAGTAAGGCCAGGAGCCCCTAGTAGCGTCCTTGATACTAATAGCGATGGCCTCCAACCTAAGAGCGATCCCCTTCTCAGCCATATGTGGAGTACGCCACAACGAGGTCTCCCACAATTGCTGTGATATGAGATGCACATGTGCGAGCGCTCTTGGCGTCTCAGGTGGTGGTAGAGAGCAACGGCGTAGTGGCCATGTCTCTGGATGCCTCGGTACGTCGCTCCGAGGAGCGACGACTGTTGTCACCCCGTTTCGCCCCGTATCATTTTTTTGCTTATCTTCACATTTGTAGCGATCCCAAAACCCCCCAAATACATTCTTGCTCCTAGTAGTAGGGCCAGGAGCCACTAGTAGCGTCCTTGCTCCTAGTAGCGATGCCAGGAGCCCCTAGTAGCTTCTTGTAGTAGTGAAAGTTGACACATCAAGGTTGATAGCATTTCTTGAAATGGAACGCTCAACTCTCAGGGTATCCAAAAGGATTTTGGTGTGACATGTTCTGACTCCTGATGCTCAACGCTCGTCAGTTTCAAGTCTTTGGGCGCCTGAGCCGCCAGCAACACTAACCATTGTCTTCAACCTTGAACTAGCGATGGCCTCCAACCTAGCAGCGATGGCCTCCAACCTAGTAGCGATGGCCTCCAACCTAGTAGCGATGGCCTCCACCCTACTAGTAGTGATGGCCTCCAACCTAGTAGCGATGGCCTCCACCCTACTAGTAGTGATGGCCTCCAACCTAGCAGCGATGGCCTCCAACCTAGTAGCGATGGCCTCCAACCTAGTAGCGATGGCCTCCACCCTACTAGTAGTGATGGCCTCCAACCTAGCAGCGATGGCCTCCAACCTAGTAGCGATGGCCTCCACCCAAGTAGAAATGGCCTCCAACCTAAGAGCGATGGCCTCCAATTGTCTCTTTTGTAGTTCCCTGCTTGTGCGATCACTTGAATAGAGGACTTCACACCGCGTCTCATGGAGTTGCAGCCACTTGCAGTGCAGGCAGACTTGGGCGCTCGAGCTGAACCTGACAATGAACTACCCAGACTCTCCTAACACAATTTGGCTTTCCTCACCTGGCAGTTTTCTATTAACGTGATGTGGGTGGTAGTGTCGGCTGTATCCGGTGTCTAGGCCGGCTTTGAATGTTGATTGGATTGTGCTGCCTTACTTTGGCGCATGCCATTGCTATGTCTTTGTTTTGTTCCAAGGAAGGTCATATATAGTTTGTATAGTTTGCTATTGAGTTGGAGGCCATCGCTAGTAGGTGGAGGCCATTGCTATTAGGAGAGAGAGAGAGAGAGCCCAAAAACATAGGACACTGAAATGCTCTAAGACTGGGCTTCCACGATCTCTTCCGTGCACAATTCCACGTCCTCCAACAGGTCGGGACAGAGTTGCAACTGCGATTTGATCGAGTAGACGCTTGGCAAAGGGTCAGAGTGGTCCCATGGGCACTTGTATTGGGTGTTTTGGTTGTCCCACATGTATTGCCAATCATTGCTTAAAGCATGTCCTTGCAGCAGAGTATGACTTATTGGAAGAATTAGTATGACAAGTTATAATGTTGCTCTTAGGTTGGAGGCCATCGCCTACTAGGCTGGAGGCCATGGCAATTAGGTTGGAGGCCATTGCTATTTTTAGGTTGGAGGCCATTGCTATTATTAGGCCACAGGCCATAGCTATCAAGTTGGAGGCCATTGCTGTTATTAGGTTGGAGGCCATGTGTTGTGATGGATTGATACTGAAGTCTTGGTCTTCCCGAAGGCTTCAAAGCAGCGATCTAAGGATGGAAATCATCTCCGAGCCTTACTGCCACACCAGAGACCCTTTGACGTTTGGGTCGGACCGTCTCCATGCAATCTCACGCTGCTCAGCTGATGCCGTGAGTCCAAAAGAATCATTTTGGCTCGTGAGCTTGGAAAGCTGCTGCTGGCACTGGTTCGGTAGCAAAGAGTGATAATAGGTTTCAGAGCATCATAATATCATGATTACGAAATTACGATATTAGCTTCTTGTTCCTACTAGTAAGGCACTTGTTACTAGTAGCGATGC